TTTAGCATTTATTAACTATTAAATATATAATTAATAGCTATAAACAAGTTAGATATTATTAACTTAACAGAACTTATAATTATATTGTTATTATATTTTAAATATATTTTGCAAAAACTAAGGTTTCTGTAAAGTTGTCATCATTAGCTCCATCATAAAAATAACCTTGAAGTTTATCATGTAATTTTGTTTCTTCAACATCAGAAAAATCATTAGAAGATATTTTATAGATTTGATATTATTCAAAACATTTATTGATAATATTTATACATCACTCAATTATTAATTAAATAAATTTTAAACTAAAATATTTCCTTTTATAATTACTTTATAATTATTCTATCATATCATCAATTAAATTATTATTATTAATTTCATTTATATATCTAGTTTTTTTACTACTATTACCTTCATTCATTTCTATATCACTATTTATATCATCTATTTTTCTTTTATTTAAACTATTACAATAATCTTCTGATTCTTTATAATATTCATATAATTTTTTACATTTAGGATAATTATGTAAATATTTTTTCATATAATCAGGAAATCTTCTTCTCCAATAAACATTACCATCCTCATCAAAATGTTTACTATCTATTTCTTTAGTGAACATTTTACCCCTTTCAACTATTTGATCAATACTATACTTACCTTTTCTATATTTTATATCCCAATTCATTGATCTAAATTCCTCTTTACTTCACTATTTTGCTCCTTCAACATCTGTTGTCATAAATGAAATACTCATAGTTCTTATTTTTATATAATCATCCCAACATCCATCAAATTTAATAACATAATCCAATCTTCTTGCAAATTGTCTAAAATTACGTTTATTCGAATCATCTTCTCCATTATTTTGACTAAAATTATATGCTTCTTCAGGTGGTCTAGTACTTGTCAAAAATATATATTTCGTAACAAATAGTTCATAACATCTATATTTCATTTGAACTTTACATTTACTATCATTTAATATATTTACCATAGTCTTCCATTCAATCTTTGTATAAAATTCATCTATCATAACTATATCTTGTCCTTCATATCTATTAAATCAAGTAGCTCCTCCTCTATTTTTTTCTGCTATCTCATAAAATTCGTCTTCAAATAATTCATTTACAAGTCCTGTTTTTCTACTTCCACCTGGTCCATATAAATAAAAAACAATCGGTCTCCAAAACCTATATCCTCTTATTTTTTTTTCTATTACTTTTTTTTTATTTTCCAATCGTTCATGTTCTAAATCTGTCTGAATTCATAATAACAGTTGATACTCTGAATTCATTATAACATCTTCATGTGATATCTGCTCATCTCTAATCCTTTTTAATTGTCTCATATCATCAAGCATTATTCCATTTTTTTCCCTTATCAATTCAACATTATCCATATCTTCTATCTCTAACTCTTCCTCATTTTCTAATTCACAAAAATTTCCAAATTTAAAAGGTCCAATATTTAATCCATCTATTCTACTCTTACTTCTTACTAGACATTTTGTATTACAAACTCTACATTGTTTATTTAGATTTTCATAATCACACTTACATTCACGTTTCTTATGTCTATCACATCGATTATATAATTTTGATGCATATTCTATATTTGAATTCACATTACCTTTCATCTTATCAGGAAATGATAAAGTATAATTATTAAACATTTTACCTAATTTATCTATACTTGTTTTTTTCTTAAACTGACAATAAGCCTGGACATGTGTTTTTCCTGTTTTAGTTTGTTCTATTTGTCCTATATATGCAGACAGACCTAACCTTTCAAATCTATTAAATTCTTCTTCACTTTTTATTATAGAATACTCACATTCAATATTTTTATTTTTACAATTCTCACATGGATATAAAATATATTTATTTAATTTACAACATTGAGTACATTTTTTTGCTTTACATCTAAAATATTTAATATCACACAAATCACAATCTGGAATTCTATCTTCTTTATATAATATTTTACTTTCTTCTTTTTTAACTCTCATGCTCTGTCTACATTTAAATTGACCTCGACATTCTTGACAATGAAATGAAGTGTAATACACATGTCAAAAACTATCAAGTTTTTTAGACATTTTTATATATTTTAATCCTATCCTAACTACTCTTATAATATTTCCTAATTATTAATTTTATTTATTTATTAATAATATCTAAATCTATATAATAAACATAGCTAATTTGATACTCTTTAATGGCAAATAAAGTATTTAATATTCCTGAATTAAACAATTCAATACTTAAAAATATTGATAATATAATATCATTTTCATAAATTAACAAAATTTCCTTTGAAAATTCTAAATTCTTTCCTAAAATATATAAAAAAATAATCAAAAATAGTAACAGACGTAAGAAAAATGATGAAAATTTAGATATTCTCTATGAAATCTATTACAAAACAAAAACAAATATCAGTAAGGATATAATAGAATATACAAATTTATTTGATAATTTTTACAATGACCATGATGACAGGTACATGATTATTATTAATATTATTAATTCATTATTATTATAACTAACATGATTCATTTCTCAAAGAATGAAAAGAAAAAATATACATATTTATAATTTAAGATCAAACATTTATAAAGACATAAGAATTTTAGAAGAAAAAATTATTTCTAATCTAGATATTCTATTAGAAAAAAATATGTTTAATCTCATCAACATATTAATACAAAAAGTGGACCTTTGGGGCTTTGACATAATCAATGATACTGATGATTATGAATACCCTTTTGATATATATTTTGATATTGAAAAATATTTATGATAATATTTCTTTATTTATTTATTAAAAAAAAATATTATATAATTACAAAAATCTTGACTAAATAAACTAATAAAATCATCTATTTTAAAAATAATTCTTCTTATTGAAATAAATTGACTACTTTAATACCCTTATTTAAATATTAATACATTTTTAAATTCATAAAAAAATTAAAAATTTCTAAAACTTCACTAAAAGAAATTTCTTTACCAAATTTAAAAATAATTAATTTAATTCCTTTAACAAGATAATGAAATACAAAACTCTTGTTATTTTTTCAATTTCTCTTTATAAACCTGAATTGATGTAAATATGCATTTTTGAAGCTCCTGAATAAGATCATCATTAGCACGAATAATAGCTTGTTTAAATTCTTCCACTCCAAGAAAACTTAAATTCTCCATTTCTTCATATTTTTTCTCTTTAAATTTAATTTTATTCAAAGATCTAGAATATGGTTTATAGATATCTTTATGACATCTACGATAATGTCGTAAAATACTCTCATGTTTAATATTGGGATTACGGTTTTTATATGTACATTTTTCCTGTAAACAAGAAATAGTATTATCAATTTCTATCTTATAAAGATTAGACATTTTATGATTTAATTAAAAAAAAACAAATAATTTCTATCTATTTATAATTAAATTTAATTAATAATTAAAAAAAAAATTATTAAATTTTACTTCACATTTTATAACTTTGTTAATATCGATAATTAAAAATAATTTATAATATAACAAATTTAATTCTAATTGGTCAATCACTAAATATATCGTCACATGTTACACTACATACATCATTTGACTTAAAACAAATTGGCAGTATAAAAACGAATTATCAAAAGATACTACAAATTTTAAAACTACATTCTGCATACAATAAAAATAATCCAAAAAAAAAAATAAAAATAATTCAAAAATTAATAACAATAAATTAAAATAATAAAATAATTCATACCTTAGTTATTAAATGTTAAATTTTTAAAAAAAAACGATTTAAACAACAATACTTTTAAATATAGGTAACTCGATTAAATTTTTAAAAATTATAATATATTTAATATAAAATATATAAAATATAATCATTATGACAGGTGATATTCATATTAACTTTCCAACATGTATGTTTTAATTTATTTATTATTAAACTATATATGGTTTATATTATAAATTCGAATTTACAATTTTAAATCTATCTTTTTGTTTAATATAGGAAGTAATCGAATGAATTTTTTTTGATAAATAAATATTATTGAAAATATTGGTAAGAAAGAATTTAGTTCTGTATTTTCAGCGTTCTGGTTGGATGGTATACGAAAAATTGACGGTAATAGAAGAGTGTGTAAACCTGGAATTGTTACACTCTCTCGATTTTTTGAAAGAAGTAAGTGGGAGGTTCTACAAGTGCTGAACAGGTACTTACGGCACTTGTAAAACTTCAGATTAAATCATTTTATTCACAATTTATTAAATGCATTTTGAACTAATTTTTTATATAAAATTTATCAAGATTAACCAGTCATATGAAATGCAATTTATGGGGTAATAAACTTGCAATGTATGGAATAACTCAAAATGCAAAAAAACTAACGAATACTTAATAATGGAAATCTTCATAAGTATTTAAGCACAAACTTTCGAGAATTTACCTGGCAGATTAAATTAAAACTACTTCTAAATATTTCTGAAGATTTACATAATATTCATAATGCAGGATATATTCATGCAGACCTTCATAGTGGCAACATTTTACAAGATTGACATATTAATGAAGAAATGCAATCTTATATCTTAGATCTAGAATTGTCTCAAAAGTATAATGAAAATACATCAGGCGATATTTATGAAGTTCTGCTCTATATCACTCTAGAAGTTTTATCTAGTAAAGAATTTACAGAGAAAGCTGATATTTATGGCTTTAGAGTTATTATGTCAGAGATATCAACTAGGCAAAGACCTTTTGATAGTTGTAAATTTGATATTAGTCTTGCAATAAAGATTTGCAAAGGACTGCAGCCAGAATTTGCTTTTGGGACTTCTGACTGCTATATTAAATTTGCTAAAAAATATATGGATTCATATACACAAAAATAGCCTAGTAGTTATAGTATTCGTAACGAACTTTACAAATAGAATAAAATCATAAGAGATGAATATGTGATGATGATGTTAAAAAGCAATTTTTAGATGCTGTCAAAATGATCAAAAAATTGCTAATTATATTACCAAAACATCTGAATTCTATATACACGAGCAAAATTATTAGCACACAAAAAATATCGAATGCAATTAAAGATATTTGTTTTTTAGCTAATGTTATTATTTAAAATTAAGATAATTTTATAATCAACTTTCGAATTTTTCAAAATATTTAGAATTAACAACTGCAGGTATACATTTGTATTGATCAGTCTTAATTTGTATTTTAATGTACAGTATATAGTAGTACTCAATATGACTGAATCTACTTTATAGAGATTATGGACTATCAGGATTATAGACTATTGGGATTATGGAACTATTGGTATTATAGACATGTCGGGATTATATAACTATCGAGATTATAGACTATTAGAATTATAGACTATCGAAATTATGAAACTATCAGGATTTTAGATTTCAGGATTTTACTTTGAGATTTTAGCATTGTTAGAGTTTTGTGTTGTCAGGATTTTGAATGTTAGGATTTTGTTGTTGGGATTTTGGATGTTCAGATTTTGGATGTCGAGATTTGGTAATAAATTCAATCAGTAGAATTAAAATTATGAACATAAATACTTATTCAAATACTTATTTACAATTATAATATCAATCTATAATTTATTAATTTATTAATGTTAATAGGAAAATTATGGTGATTAGCCAATGATATTTGAGATTGTCAAATTATTTATTTGTTTACTAACACTAACAAATTGATTTTTTTATACATATTTTGCTATTTTTTTCTGGTTCTTCATTTGCTGGTGTCGTCATTTGTTGGTTTTGTTGTTTGTTGGTATCATCATTCATTAGTGTTTCAATTTTGCTTGTATAATCGTTAGTTGTCATTCTTCATAGTTCTTCAGAGAATTTTTTTTAATACTAACCTTTCTTTTTTTTTAAGCATTTCACTCAGTCGTTTACTTTTCATCTTTCTTCAGTAGGTTTCTTTGTAATTCTTCAGTAGGTTTCTTTGTCAGGTTTTTCTTTGTATTAATATTTCTTTTTTTAGGCATTTCTTTGTCATTCACTTGTTATTTTTCAGTAGGTTTCATTGTCATTGTTTCTTTGAGATTTTCTTCATACTAATATTTCTTTTTTTTAGATATTTTTTCAGTGCATTTCTTCATCTTTCTTCAGTAGGTTTCTTCGTCTTTCTTCAGTGGGTTTCATTGGTGCTTCAGTGTTTCTTGGAGTTTTCATCATTTGTTAATGCTTTGGCATTTCTTAAAGCTTTCGATATTTGTTGGTGCTTCATTGTTTCTTGGAGCTTTTGACATTTGTTGGTGCTTTGTTATTTCTTGGAGCTTTCAATGTTTCTTGAAGCTTTTGATATTTGTTAGTACTTCATTATTTCTTAGAGATTTGACATTTATTAGTACTTCAGTGTTTTTTAGAGCTTCAATATTTGTTGATGCTTTGTCATTTTTTAGAGATTTTGTTGTTTATTAGTATTTCAGCTTTTTTAGAAACTTCATTATTTGTTTATAGATAAGTTCTAATTTGTGGTTTAGGTAAGTAGGTTTCTTTGTATATATGCAATGATGTAAATTTTTTTAGGTTGTTGTAGTTTAGTATTTGTTTATCATGTAGAAAACATTCATTATATAACGATATTATTTTTTTTTAATAAATAAAGTTTTTACAGTATTACATAAATTATTATTTTAAAAAGATTTTTTTTTTAAAAAAAAAATTGTTATCATTGTATAATGATGACAATTTTTTAAAAAATAAAAATAAGGTCTGGTGATCTTAGTTTAGTGGTTAGGTTGCCAGACCACCATGCAAGAGGTCTGGGGTTCAAATCCCACTGTCGATGAATTTGAATAATTTCTCAGACTTCTGTATTCAACTTATGGCAAACTCTGTTTGTTTCTGAAATGTAACCCTGTAAATCATGTTGCACTAATGTCATCCGGATATTGGGAGTGCAATATGATGCCTGAGGAACGTAACATTGTACAAATAAATCTTAATAGGATCTACGAACAGAGAACCTGCATAGTAGAAATCCTGAGTTAGGTGAAGTAGTACGGATTTTGATGGTCAATCTGATTAATGCTTAATCCAATAGAGAAGTTCGTATGCGTATATTGTAGATCGAACAGGTGCGAGTAAGTCCGTCTGACATGCAAAAAGGCTAGCAGTACCAACCTGGCTTAGTGGCTAACTAGATTTGGAAGGATCTGCTTTATGAAATATCTTGGAAACCTCGAAAGACTAAACCGGTGGAGAGCTACAGAAGGAACTGAGTTCGTATGAATATTGACAAGGGTCTAAGCTAGGTGGAACCCATGAAATGGATACAGGACACTCTAGTAGGTTTGCTTATGAGGTTAACCAGCTTTGCAGATACTCACAATATGTTGGGTATAATGTATCCTAAGAGGACCTAAGCTATTCAGTAGAATGATCCGTAACGAGCTGGCTGACTTAAGCAGTTAGGTGTTACGGTAATATTAGTTTGGGATTGTATGTGACACTGCATTGAACAGAGTGTTTAAACAGGTAACTCACAAGCAGGTTACAGGTATGGCAGCTTGTGTAGAACTACTTAGATGGCCT